GAGAAATTAACCTTCTTTGAGAGAGAATTACTAATTAGGGAATATAAATTTTAACAGTAAGGAGAATCCAACAATGGTATCTGACCTGCTAATTGAACTGAAGATCTCTAAACCTGAGAGCCAACCTTGATACGTCTTCAAGAGCTTGAGACCAAGTCAATACTGGATCTCCTAGCAAGAGGGGGCGTGTCAAGTTTGGCTACTTGGTCTCAAGAGCAGGCAGACAGTGAAAACCCATTGGTGGATTCTCCATCTCCTGTACTGGAGAAAGCAAACATCTTTTGAAGTAAACTGACCCATTGTGCTTTCATCACCAAAATTAAAAAGAGCTATGCTGTACAATCATGATTTATTTTCATCCTACCATTTGCTATATTACATTGTCTGCTATGATTGCATCATAGTTAGGATATAGACTTTTATAATGTCAATTGCTCTTGACATCTGTGACTGTTGTAACTAATTTCTGTGTCTATGCTTATTTTAGGATAAATACGAAAGTCTGAGAACACCAAGGGAGACAGAGGATAACAACAAACTTCAAAGAATATACTCAATCTGCCAGGTGAGTCCAATGAGCTAGGACAAAATTTGACTCATAAAAGGGTTGCCTTCTTAATTTTTTAGCCCTTCAAACTGTGTCCCCTTGCACTCACAGAGTTGCTTAATTTAAGCATTAGCAAAAGAAGGATATATATTAATGAGGATTAAGTGTCAGTGTAAAACAAAAGAAGGAAATAATTATCTGATTGCAATTAGAGTTGGAGTGAGTTTGTTATCTCACAATTTACAAAAATAAATAGGAAAAGCTAGGTTGTCTAAGAAGTCTCTCTTTCAGTGTTTAATTGAAAAATGTAGATCAAAAACAGTGACTAGAATGCACTCTTTTTGGCTCTTTGGGATGAATTAGAAATAAATGCTATTACAATCATATATATTACATGGCTGTCTCATGAGACTGACTTCACAGGAACACTGGAACTTGTTGGGCAATGTGTGTATGTAAACATACATATCCAGAAATATATCAGACTGAGTTGGGAGATTATAGACATTGAAGTCTAACTCATGGAAAAGATAGGTAGTAGAGTAAGCTTCTGTAATATGAGATAAATTTTCTGAAATTATATCAGAAATAAGGCTAGCTAGAAGTTCTCATATTTAATCCTAACACGAACAATTGACAGGTATTAAAAAACGAATAAAAGCATGTTGTTATCCTTCAATGAACCATCTCAGTGTGGTGTACCTCTAGTGCCAACTGAAATCTCCTTTCATACAGGTTTCTTACAGAGGAGCTCCAAAAATACAACTGCCTTTACAATGGACGCATAGTGGAAAAACAATTCTCCAAAGGCTTGACTTGAGTTTAAAAAGGAATATGAATGTATTCATCAATATTTGCATAATTGTTGTGGATTTCTACAACTGCACAATTAAATTGGATGTTTCAATAGCCAGAAATGAATTAGAGAAACTGCATCTCCAAACAACTGAAATACAGCAAGAAATGGTCTATCTCGAAAAGAAATTGTGCCATTTTAAATCCTGATCTTCCCATCACTTTTCCCCCACTGGTGCTTTCTTTCCTAATTTCTTGTGTTGTTGCCCTTCATCACCAATGTTTATGTAAGCTGAAAGGAAACATTATGGATGTTACAGAATCTGCAGATTGAAGCAGTGTGTAAATATTGTTACTTATTTCTTCTGGATCAATATCCTGATCTACTGCCATTACAAGTTTACTCCTCCCCTCCTTGCTTTATTTTATCTTGCTTTTGCATTATTTGGCTCTGAGATATTAGGGATAGGAAACATTTTGTTCCAGGTAATTTTACTGTCCAGCTCTGTCCTTCAACAGTGCCAACAGGTTGTCGGATCCTCTGGTTACCCAACACTTGGGCTACAGAAATAGTTTTCTTGCTGCTTCTATGTTACAACTTTCAACTATTATCACTACGCAGCTGTTTTGTCTTGCCCTTCTATTTAAACATACTGCTTTTGGCTATCTCAAGGTCAGACATATTGGGGGAGGATTTCAGGTGTCTTTTTTACAGACAACAGTCTAATGAAGGTAACCCATAATATCTATATTAAACAACACCAAGTTGTTTGGTGTTAAGATAGCAGTCATGGTACAACCAAAGCTTCACGGTATGTCCAGCACACAAAAAAGGCAGAGCTTCAATCATACTGTTACAATCAACATGATAATGTTTTTGAGCATACCTTGAGAACAAACCCTAAACCAGTGGTGGCGAACCTATGGCACGGGTGTCAGAGGCGGCACTCAGAGCCCTCTCTGTGGGCACATGCGTCATCGCCCCAGTCCTAGGCCTTCAGCTGGGTTTTATAAAACCTTTTCGCTTTAGGCCTCCGCCACCGTGTACAAAAAAAAAGGTTCAATCAATCAGTCAATTTCAACTTCTCATGGAAAAAAAAAGATCTTGCAAAGTTGAAATTGATTGATTGAACTTTTTAGTCCCACCCAGTCTGCCGTTACCACTGTAGCCATGCGCACCCAATGGGCCACGGCCACCCAATGGGCCAAACCCACCCGGCACCCGATGATGCATAAGTGGGTTTTGGATTGCAGTTTGGGCACTCGGCCTTTAAAAGGTTCGTCATCACTGCCCTAAACATTACAAACATATATTTATAATTGCTTATTATTTTAAGAAACTCCATAGAAGTACACGGGTACAGCAATAGTACGTATCTGAGATAATACTTGATTTCCCAAACACTATATGCTTAAATGGCATAGTTCTGCAAATAATACTATGGAAAAATGTCCATTTGAATAGGTCTCATTATTTTGGATGAATTCATAATTGTAACACAAGATTGAGGACAATATTATAGGGGATGTGGAATAAATTACTTGCTGAAAATAATTATGATTAATTGGAAATAGTCTCTTAGTTATAACCACTGCTATTAGGAAAAGAGGGACAGCAGTCTTATTACAAACCCAATTAATGTACCTCTAATTTTATATACTGGATCAATTACCTTTCATTTATGCATCATCTGGTGCTGGGAAGGTACAAATGGAAAGGGGAGACACTGCTTCCATTCATTCTCATCTATAGATCATTGGAGTGACTTTTTTCAAGTCAGTACTTGTGTGAGAAAAAGGCGGAATTGCAGCCCATTAGGTATTTTTGAACTCTCAAATCCCTGAGTATTTTTTTTTTGTTAGCTAAAGCTAAGGCAATTTGGAGTGCATAAAAATCAGGAAGATTCTTGGCAAAGCTTCATCTATACCAGTGTTTCTCAACCTGTGAGTCGGGACCCCATTTGGGGTCGAATGACTATTTCATGGGGGTCGCCAAACAACGCAGTCCGCCATTTTTTCTCCTTTTCCTTGGCTGTGCTACTCCCTTTTATTCTATTGGCTTTTGAAAGCCAATAGAATAGACTCTCTTGAATAGAGCCTAATTCAGTGGTTCTCAACCTGTGGGTCGGGACCCCATTTAGGGTCGAACGACCATTTCACGGGGGTCACCAAACAACGCAGTCTGCCATTTTTTCCTCTTTTCCGTGGCTGTGCTACTCCTTTTTATTCTATTGGCTTTTGAAAGCCAATAGAATAGACTCTCTTGAATAGAGTCTAATTCTATTGGCTTTCAAAAGCCAATAGGAATTGTCCAAGCTGTCTCTGCCCTGCTGAGCTCGCCAAAAGTCCCATTCTGCAAACGGTGCTGCAAGTTGTCTGCAGCGAAGGCGAGCTGTCTGGAAGTTTCCACCCCTCCCTGCTGAGCAACTACTAAAAATGTAAGTAAAAGAGGGCCAAGGGTGGGAGGTGGGAGGCCGGCGGGCGCAGGGAGGGTTGCTGGTGTGCATGGGGCCCGGCGGGTGCCTTACCTCCCTTGGGCTGGGCCAGCTGATGGCCCAGCCGGTGGTCAGCCTGTGCCGTCTCTGCCGTTTGTCAGCTACGCCTCGGCCGGCGCAGGGGGCGGCACCACGCATGCGCGGCGCTCCCAGGCAGGGAAAGTCCTCGACTTACGACTGGTTGGGCAGTCCTTGACTTATGGCCGGTTGGGGTTGCGGCATTAAAAATGTTGAGAACCACTGATCTATACTGCCTATCAGGGAAACTGGTAACTACCTCCCTGGTGGTAGTTAAAAAGATGGTTAAAAAGATGACCAAGGAGTCTACACTCGGATATTAAACTAAATATCACTAGTTGCCAAAATTCCCCTTTCAATACATTTGGTTGAAGAAGATTCTGTGGGAATTTTACTTTTTGATTATAAATAGCCACTTGGGCTGACATCAAATATCTCAATTCTTTCTAAATTTCCTACCAGTTTAAAAATTTAAATATCTCAACAGTTACATCCACGTTTTGCTTACAGCAGGGGTCTCCAACCCCAGGTCAGTGGACTGTTACTGGTCCGCAGCATGCCAACAAATGGGCCACACAAATAAGCAAAACTCCATCCTCGGGATGCAGGCAGTATTCAGAACCACACCCCCTCCAGTCTGTGGAAAAACCTTTCTCCATGGCACGGGTCCCTGGTGCCCAAAAGGTTGGGGACCTCTGCCTTACAGGATGATATTTCTTGTTATATTAATGAACAAAGATCTACCATCTTCATAGACTTCATCTTTATATTTTTTATCAGATGTCCATCCTAGGCATTAGGATTGGGTAAAAAAAATACTCAACCATTGTACTTTTGAAAAATAAACACTCTACTACAAAAATAAGAATAAAAAGCAATAAAACAAAAATAATTTAGGGAAAGCATCCAGAGCAGGATTTCTGGAACTCTTTCAAACTCCTTATTAACAGCTCTGCTTTAGATCATATGATCAGGAAAAAATTTTCATTGGAGGAAAAAGTAATCTGAACAAATGGTCAATTGCATCTTCCATATGAATGCACTGGGGGATTTTTCTTCATCTTTTGCCTTTTCAAGTCAAAAGATCATTTCATCTTTTGCTGGCTTTTTCAACCATATCAACATTGATCATCTTCAATGTCCTATTCAAATTGAACAGAGTTTATTTAATGCATAAATATCAAAGACAAATGTGCTTGAATAGGTTTTAAATAGTTTAATAAATATTCTGGTACCGAATTTCTGCTCTGGAATACAGAACTTTGGGGGAACAAAAAAAAATTAAAAATTGTACATCCAGTATAACCAAATTCCAGTATAAAGCTATATTTAAAAGATTTACCACACAAAAGAGAGAAAAGTTCCTAGAACAATCAAGATAAAACAATTATTCCACTCTGATTTTGTAGCCTCATGCCTGTTACTTCTTTAAAAAACTAAGAGAGTTTATCTACCAACTGGATGTAATGTTACACAGAATGGAGAAGACATTCAGAATGCAATAAAATGGACACATAGGCACTATCATGGTCTGCAAGTTCTTATCCATCTTCTTAAACTACAGAACACCAGGATTGGGTTTGTCTTCTTTGAAGCTAGAGAATAATTATGTACTGCAAACTAACATATCTGCAAAGGGCCCAAGGAGATTTTTGTTGAAAATGCATCGGATCCACACCAAATAGTTTGTGAATGGCTTAATATTGTCTGAAAATGTATGGTTTTGGTGAGACAAAATATAAGGCATGTACGTATTTTCTCCTTGCTCCTGAATCCAAACTTCATATTTTACTTCTCTGACCTTCAAGTATTTCAGGTTCCAAGGGATTTGCCAAGATACAGAGAGCTTAGCTTCACTGGTACCCTGGACAGAGGCCTGGCATTTGGCATCTCTAACTTTGCCTGGATAGAGGCCACTAGTCCACTTTTGCTTCTTAGGCCCTGGTTTGGTTTTCACCGTTTGCCTGATCACCTGGATAAGGGAAGCAATGTTAATTTTGGTGTCCTGGTAGATACGGAAAAGCCATTCTGGGTTACGGCAACACAGATGCCGGGGAACCTCATTGCTCTTTACAATGCGATCTTGCTCTGCTTTGTCCAAGTGGGCAATTCCTCCTTGATCCCAGGGTCTGTCTGGATAAGTCACAGTATTCTCCTTTTCAGTGTTTTGCCATGAAATGTACTGAAGATCCATACTAGGAAGGGTAGATAATGTCTTGTAAGGGGTGTAATGTTCAGGATTTATGGCAAAAGGGAAGAGTTCCACAACAGTGGCTCCTCTTGGCAGGAAGAGAGACATAATAAGTTGAGCTCCATGCATGCTGACAAGCATGGATGCATTGCTAATCAAGCGTACTATCTCTGAAAATGTATGGTCTTCTATGGAAACGGTAATGGTTTTCATCTGAAATTCTTGAGCAAGTGCCAAAATTAGCTCTGCCTCATTTAGGATTAGTCTATTGATGGTTCGGCTGAACAGTATTATATATTCCTCACCAGGTATTTCTTCCAAGCTCACATTTAGTCTCTTCATCATGAATGTTTTGAACTGTCGGATCTCATTGCCAGAGACCAGGATGTTGGCTTTCGGCCCCTGGGGCTGAACAAAACCATATTGATACCAGGTTGTGATTTTAGACAGACCCACATATGACTTGGTGAAGCACAGGAGCCGCCCAAGTGTTTTAAGCTGCTCTCTTAGGAGTGGTTGCTTACTGCTAAGCAATTTGTATAGCTCAAAGTGTAGTCCTTCACCCCAGCCTTCCATGAAGAATAATCTGGTCTCCAAGTCCATATCTGGGAACTGCAGCATTGTATAGAAAATTGGAAGGAGATCATCATGGAAAACATGCATCAAATTATCTGGATTGAACCTATTCATAATGAGTGCTACATCAGGAACAAAGACAGGCTTTGGCATAAATTTCAGAGCTGCAGCAGGCAGTTCTACAAAATTGAAGTATTGGGTATTATGGTCCTCCACTGTGGAGAGATCAAGCAAGGCAGGTTGAAATCTTCTGGAGCCCAAGTTTGGAAGCATGACAGAAGAACTGCTATGGAAGAAGACAAATTCCTCAGCTTCAGTGGAATAACAGAGAGACTCAAAACGGCATATACGATCAGTATGCATCCTGCCAGTGCACACCATCTTGGTGCCATCTTCTACCAGAGCTTGAAGTGCAGCATGATAGTCAATGCTGACCTGAGAGAGTTCCTGGGACTGGCGCATGAGGACTAACTCCTCTTCCAGTACAAAGACATGGTCGTGCAGCTTGATATACTTCCACAGCACAGCAGCAAGGATGCACACTAGCAAGGCGTTAAATACTGATGCTATGTTCATTCTGGACCCAGGTCCTAGCAAGTGGGCAGGTGGTGAACACTAAGGAAGAGGGATGCATTCTCAGTCTTCTTTATCATAATGGAACAGAGACCTAAAAAAACAAAGTAAGAGCAAAAACAGTTACGGTTATAACAGTCATTTAAAGTTCATTATGTTGTTGTAAAGGAATAATGGCTACTCGCCATCTCCCCCTCCCCCCCCCCGATAAATTCTTCAGTTTTTGTGCAAGAAGGACTGCAGATAATGTTTAAAAATATTTTTTGAAACAGCTGCTCCAAACAGATTCACTCTAATTTTAGCCTTGCTCTCTAAACAAAAATACATGTTACATTACAGACTGATAAATAGTTGCTACATACCAGCAAATCATTTCTCCTCTTAAAGTGCTCATATAAAACTTTACTCATGGACACTTTTATGAAAGAAAGTATACTTATAGCCCCACAGACCTTCTTTTGTCCCAAACCAACTATGTGATTTATTTTTAGTTTTGTGCCTTATTTCTTGCAAAAAGAAAACTAGCAGGGAAAAAAGGAGAATCTTTAAATTTCAATGTGACATATGATCACTTGCATATGTATAGAATGACTGCCTAATGGATATGCCAGCCAAACAGGAGCATTTTACAACTCTAACCCTGTATCCATCACATACATGTAGATTAAAGTTACAAGCTATATACAAACAACACACCTGAGCATTTGGTATTGGTTACCCTTTCCCACTTTTGCATCCCCAGAGAGAGAGAGAATCCCCTAAAGAGGCTAAGAAGATCCTCAGCAGTTTTTTTCCATGTGTTTTCTCCATGTGTTTCTTACCCATCACCCCAACCATCAGCATTAGAGAAGTCAAAGCAAGAGCTTGTGCTTCATCTATTCTAAGGGATCCTCTTGCCTGCTTCTGAAGGGGCGGTCTGAGTGAGCTCCAGTTGTCAGGGGTGGCCTATTACTCCAGCTGACTCTTCTCCCTGCGGTCAGCCTGGGCAACTGGGTAATAGTAATAGTAGTAAAGTTGGAAGGGACCTTGGAGGTCATCTAGTCCAACCCCCTGCTCGGGCAGGAAACCCTACCCCATTTCGGACAAGTGGCTGTCCAGTCTCTTCTTAAAAGAGACTGGACTATATAATCGCTATAGTGTTGCTGAATAGTTACGGAGGGCAGAGAAATGGAAACAATTTATCAGGGAACATTTTTACAAAGCTAAAATATGTGCTGGGAATTGGAAAGAAGGTTCTTATGCTTTATAGTAGTTAAAAGGAGAGGCAGGTGGGCAGGCAGGCATGCACACAGATCAGAACAAAACAAAGAGCTAGGAGAAAAATGGAACATCAGCCAAAAGAGCACAAAAGAGAATTAAAAAAAGGAAATTATCCATTTTGATCTCCTAGCTCTTTATAAAAGCTATGGTATCTCAAACCATCAGAGAATCAGCCCAAAATAACAACACTGCACTCTTTCTCCAAGAATTATATTGTTAAGAAATAGGACTATTTGTGCTACTATTCCCACCAAAGATTAATATCTTAGATTGCAAACTTTCAGGATAGAGTGCAGTGACATCATACAAGTGGACGGGTGGGTAGAAAAACCCTCAGTCAACATGGGAACCTAGGCTGAGGAAGATGAAAGGTGCAGTCCAAGAGACCTCAAAGAACTCTTAAGCTGATTTATATATCTCCCTCCAAAGTTAGCATTTTGATCCCACTTCAGAACCATAACTTAATATCTTAGTTTGATACAACCTGTTACCCAAATTAAAAAAATGTTCTGGCTTGTTTTGTTTGAAGGCAGGAGCAAATCTAAAATGGTATTTTGCTGAAAAAGCAATAATTAAGCAGTTAAGAGATCACTTTTGTAACTAGCTTCCTGGTTATGTCAACAACAGAGGATTCAATGATATCAGATAAACAGGCTTTAATATGTCTAACTGTGTCAAATTACAATCCAATTCTCTTTACAATCCAATCCAAGGAATTCACAGCAAATTTTGACCAAATAGGTCCTGGTACGAGAAAGGATTGCCATAAAAAACAAAACAAAAAACAATAAAGAAAAACTGTTAACTTGGTGGTTAAGATACTAGGCTAGACTGGTATAGTTCTAGTCTGATATGAAAGCTAGCTGGGTGAATTGGGCCAGTCATTCTCTCTTAGGCCAACCCCCTTCACAGAATTGTTATGGGAAATACAAGAGAGGAAGGAATATAAGAATATAAATATAATGGTAACTGTCTTAGTTATTTATAAAAATAATAAAGATGGGATAGAAAGTCTTTTAAAAAGCTTAATTTAAAAAGTGTGCAGTTCTGAATGCAACAACTCAAAAATTAGGGGAGATGGGCAATAACTTTTATTCTGCCCTATAGAAATACTGGACTATGACTCCTAGAATCCCAATCACTAACCAGAAAAAAATAAGACAAAACTAAGGGAAGGTTAACAGGTGAAACAACAGGTTTGAAATGAAGAAAACAGTCCAGCAAGATAAGCGAGGACAGGAAACTGGTTGACCTATTTTGTTTCGATGATTTTTGATCTGTCAGATGTATTTTAGAATTAAGATACTAAATCTAAGGCAGGAGAATGAAAATTTACCCACCACTGGATATCTCTTTATTTTGATGTTGTCAACTGTTCCAATGGTGACATTTATGTAACATATCAAAAGAATACACACTACTCTTTTTTTTTAATTAAAATTTTTATAAACATTTTACAATATCCCCACCTCTCTCTCTCCCCCCTCCCATTAGCCCTCCCCCCTTCCCAGAGCTGAGTACAGAGCTAAAAACAAAAAAGAACATAAAAAATTAAATAAAGATCAATCAATTATAGATAAATCCTAAAAAATTTTAGAACCCCTTTAACTCCATTACAATAAAATCAACAAATCTAACCATAACAACTTTATACAATAAGTTATTCAAAAGCTAAATAATACTTTCTAATCCCATATTTGTTCTGAACAAAATTTACCCATCTTTTCCATACAGAGTTGTATCTCTCTTGTGAATGGTCTTTCAGATAAGCCGATATTTTTGCCATTTCTGATAAATAAGAAACTTTAAAAAATCATTCCTCTAAGATAGTCAAGGAGTCTTTTCTCCAATATTGCCCAATCAATAACCTTGCTGCCATAATAAAATTCAACGTTAAAATAATCTCTTTACTATCACAATTTTCAATAATACCTAACAAAAATAGTTGTGGTGTAAATTTTATCCTTCTATTAAAAATTGTTTGAATATTCCACCAAATCTTAATCCAAAAAGCCTTTATATTTCTACAAGACCACCAAATATGATAATAGGTTGCATCCATACAACCACATCTCCAACATTTGGGCTGTAAATTAGAATACATACAAGACATCTTTTGTGGATCAAGATGCCATCTATAAAACATTTTATAAAAATTTTCTCGTAAATTTTGAGCTTGGGTAAACTTAACATTCCTAACCCAAATTATCTCCCATGTATCTAATAGAATCGGCTCTTCAAAATTTTGAGCCCACTTAACCATACAATCCTTAACTAATTCTGTTTCTGAATCCAATTCCACCAAAGCATTATAAATTCTTTTTATATGGGCTCGATTTTGATCTCTAATTTGTTTCACCAAATTGGCATCTTCCGCAATGAAACCCATTTTTTGATCTATACTCCATCTTTCTAATAACTGCCTATATTGAAACCAAGAATAAATAATGTTTTCTTGCGATAAATCCTCCATCGATTTTAATTGCCACTTATTCCCTTCCCATTTAGTCAATTGCTTATAAGAAATCCTATCCATTTTCACCCCTTTCCTTATCCCTTCTATAGCGTGCCCAGGAATTCCCCACAGTGGTATTCTAGAATTTAACCTATAATATTTCTTCCAGACACGCAGTAAAGCAATTCTTAAAACATGGGATTTAAAGGCCCTATCCACCTTGTTATTATAAATTAAATACGCATGCCATCCAAATAATAAATCCCATCCTTCCAAGGAAAGTATATCTAAATTTGTTAAGTTAACCCAATCACTGATCAAAGTCAAAACCACCGCATCATAATACAATTTTAAATTCGGCACCTTAAGTCCACCTCTCTCTCGAACATCTTGAATAATTTTGAGCTTAATTCTTGGTTTTTTCCCAGCCCAAATGAATCTATTAATCCCCCTCTGCCATTCTTCTAAATTTGCCTCTTTCTTTAAAATAGGTATCATTTGAAACAAAAAAAGAAATTTAGGCAGAAGATTCATTTTCACTGCAGTAATTCTCCCTAATAAAGATAATTGCAATTTCTTCCAGTCATTCAAATCCTTTTGCATTTTAAGCCATAACACTTCATAATTATTTTTATAAAGTTTTGCATTAGAAACAGTTATATAAACCCCCAAGTATTTTACCTTTTTTACAATTTCAAAACCTGTCAAATTAACTAACATTTCCTTATCCAAAATAGGCATATTTTTGTTAAAATTTTAGTCTTATTATTATTAACTTTAAAACCAGAAACTTGCCCATACTGATTTATAATCTGCAACAATTCTACTACTGAATCAGCTGGTTGAGACAAAGTTACAACCAGATCATCTGCAAAAGCTTTTAATTTATATTCTCCCTTGTTAATCGTTATTCCCTTTATTTTAGATGATTCACGAATTTTAATCAGCAAAATCTCTAATGTTAAAACAAACAACAATGGAGACAGAGGATACCCCTGTCTTCTGCCCTTTTCAATTTGAAAAACCTCAGATAAGCCTCTATTAATTATAAATTGCGCTGATTGTTTTTGATAAATATTTCTAAAAGCTTGCAAAATTTTTTCCCCAAAATTCATTTCTTCAACCAATCTCAACATAAATTGCCAATTCAACTGATCAAAAGCTTTTTCCGCATCTAAAAAGATCAAACCCGCAGGGATCTGGTTGTTTTTGTCCAAAAATTCAATTAAGTTAATAATTTGTCTAACATTATTCTTCATATACCTCCCAGTTATAAAACCAGTCTGGTCTGTGTGTATAATTTGACTCAGTACAACCGTGAGTCTATTCACCAAGATCTTTGAAAAATTTTTATAATCTGTATTCAAAAGAGATATAGG